CGCCGCCGCACGCCGTCGACCCGTTCGCGCCCTCGCCCGTTCGCATGGCGCACGTCGTCGCGCGTTCGAACGCGCGGACCGAGCCGCCGCCGCCGGCGCTCGGGGACGATGATGGCGCGACGGCGACGCACGCGGACGACGACGCGGGACCGACGACGACGGGAAAGAAGGGACGGTACCGACGTGATAAACCGTGGGACCACGATGGGATCGATCACTGGCGCGTGGACCCGTTCACGGCGGAGGATAACCCGCACGGGGTGCTGGAGGAGAGCTCGTTCGCCGTGCTCTTTCCAAAGTATCGAGAAAAGTACCTGCGAGAGGTGTGGCCGAGCGTCACGCGAGCGCTGAAGGAGCAAGGGGTGTCGTGTGAGCTTAATTTGGTCGAGGGCTCGATGACGGTGCGAACGACGCGTAAGACGTTCGACCCGTACATCATCGTCAAGGCGAGAGATTTGATAAAACTGTTGAGTCGCTCCGTGCCGGCGCCGCAGGCGCTCAAGGTGCTCGACGACGACACGAACTGCGACGTGATTAAGATTGGAGGGATGGTGCGTAACAAGGAGCGTTTCGTTAAACGTCGTCAGCGTCTCATCGGTCCGAACGGTTCGACGCTCAAGGCGATCGAGATGCTCACGGGGTGCTACGTATTGGTGCAAGGGAACACGGTGAGCGTCATGGGCGGATGGAAGGGATTGAAGACGGTGCGGAAAATTGTCGAGGACGCGATGAAGAACACGCACCCGATATATCACATCAAAGAGCTCATGATCAAGCGCGAGCTCGAGAAGGACCCGGAGCTCGCGACGCAGAGCTGGGACCGCTTTCTGCCAAAGTTTAAGAAGAAGAACGTGCAGCGCAAAAAGCCGCAAAAGGTTGGCAAGAAGGAGCGCGCGGTGTTCCCGCCGGCGCAACCGATGAGCAAGGTAGACATGCAGATCGAATCCGGGGAGTATTTCTTGTCCAAAGAGGCAAAGGAGAGAAAGGCGGCGTACGACAAGTTACAAAAGCAAAAGAATGTTTCAACCGAAAACCAAAAGAAGCGACTCGAAGCCTTTGTGGCGCCCAAGGAGGAGGACAAACCTGTGCGCACTTCAAAGAGCGAGGCGAAAGAAGAGGACGTCAACGACGTCGCCGCATCTCTCAAGGCGAAGAGCAAGACTCGGAAGGAGGAAGAGAAACGCTCGAAATCGTCCGCTTCGGCTTTCGTAATGGGCGGCGTCAAAGAGTCAAAGTCGAAGAAGCGCGACCGCGAGGACAAAAAGGAGAAAAAGGCGAAAAAGTCCAAAAAGGATCGCGATTGAACATTGTGCAATCATCAAAATTAGAAATCTACTGTTTCTATTCCTTCTTCACGCCGCGAATCATCCCGTATTGCATGAGTCCCTCGCCGAACGCGCGACGCATGCGCTCGAGACAGACGATGTCGCGCAGCGTCTTGTACCAAATTTTCGGTCGAGAGAACACGGGAATCGGATCGTACACGCCAGCCCAGATGGAGTGACGCCAGCTCACGATCGTTTGTTTCGTCCAGTCGTCCCCCTCCACGCGCGTCATCGCGCCCGTGTCGGTGGCGAGCGAGCAATAATCCTTGATGGAGATGAAGTACGGATGCGCCCACTCGTCGTACAAAAACTGAAGCTTACTCTTCTCCACCGCCGTCAACTCCGGCGGAGCGTGTCGCTGACACCACGTCGCGATGACGAGTGTCCCGCCCGGTTTGAGCACGCGAACCATCTCGTCGACGTACTTCTTCTTGTCCGGCATGTGTTCGCCGCTCTCGCACGCCCACACCATGTCAAACGTGTCGTCTTCAAACGTCATCGCGAGCGCGTCCATGACTTGGAAATCGGCGTTCGGAATTCCTTGGCGCTCGGCGAGCGCGGTCGCGCGCGCCGCTTGCTTTGAAGATAGCGTGATGCCCGTCACTTGGCTATCGGGTCCGACGCATTTGGACGCCAAGCGTCGCGTCGCTCCGCCGATGCCGCAACCGACGTCCAATATTTTCTTCGGCTTTTTCCCGCCGTTGTTCGCCTCCACCCCGCTCCACGCGTACATCTCGTCCACGAAATCTTCCTTGGCCTCGATGAAATCTTTCACTCTGTGTCCCAGGAGCGTGCCCGCGCCCTTGGCCAAGTCTTCGTCGCGGTAGTACCCGAGATGGATGTGCTCGCCCCAGTAGTACTCTAAAATTTCCTCCTCGGTCCACGCGTCGTACTCCGCCCCCACGGTGTTCTCCCCGGGGATGTACGTTCGACTCGGCGTGTCCAAAACCTTCTTCACCTTCAAAATCCCCGCCGCGAGCGCCAAACCAGCGACCGAGGCGACGAGTTGCTTCCCGTAGTCAATGTCCCGATTCGTCATCGCGCGCGCCGGCGCGCGCGCGTCCGTCGTCACCGCCACCGATCCCACCTCGCGCACCGCTCGCCGAGGCGCGAGCTCGAACGCATCTCTCCGCACCGTTTCCCTCGTCCCATCCAACGCGCTCGCGTCCACCACCCCGCGCGCGCGCGTCCCGGTCGTCGCAACGCCCGAAATAGAATGAAACCGTCGCCCACATCCGCGTCTCGTCCCACCCCACGCGCGCGCGCGCGATGTCCCCCCCATCGCGTCCGGCGCGCGCGTCCACATCCTTCTAAAGCCTCCCGTCGTCGTCGCGTCCGTCGTCGTCGACCGGACGCGCGATGCGGGCGATCGAGCCATTCATTCGTGGTCGGGCCGTGTGCGTGCGACACGCGGGTGTTTTTTAGGTATATCTAGGGTATAGGGTATAGGGTTTAGTATGTCCTCGGTCGCGCCCGCGCGCGATTCGCCCGCGCACGGCAACGCCGCACGCGCGCCCGGGGGTGAAGCCGCGACGACGACGACGGTGGCGGTGATGTCCGCGTCCGTCGCGCGCGCGAGCGTCGTGGACGTCGCGCGTGGACGTGGGCGCGCGCGACGAATGGCGCGCGCGCGAACGACGGTTACCGCGGCGCGCGCGGGCGAACGCGTGACGTTGCACTACTCGATGACGCTGGGCGACGGCACGGTCGTGGACGACACCCGGGGCGAGGCGCGGGGCGGACGACCGGTGATCGTCACCGTGGGTGACGGGGCGCTGTTTCCAAAGATTTCAAAAGAAATCGAGTCGATGGCGATCGGGGACGCGCGCACGGTTCGTCTCGCCGCGGAGGAGGCGTTCGGGGCGAGAGATCCGGGTAAGGTCCAACGGTTTCCGCTGTCGCCGGAGGAGGCGAAGGCGTTGGGCGAGCGCGCGCGACCGGGTCAGCTCGTGGAGCTCCCGGACGGCGGACGCGCGCTCGTGCTCGAGCTCGACGACGCCGGCGTCGCGCTCGATTTGAACCACCCGCTCGCGGGGCAAGATTTGACGTTTGAGATCGAACTCCTCGACATCTCCGAGGGGGCGACGATTTTTGGCGTTCCCATGGTGAACTTCACCCCAGGGTCGACGTAGATGTAACGCCGTTTCCGACTCCGCGCGTCCATTCGCGTCCACCCGCGTCCATCCGCACTTCGCGACGGACGATGCGACGGAGCGCGCGGTGTTTCACGCGCGTCGTCGCGCCCGTGATCGACGGCGTCGCGCCCGTCGCGCGCACCCGCGCCCGCGCCTCGCTCTCGCGCGCGCACGACGGCGTGCGGGCGACGACGGTGTTGTGCATTCGTAAAAATGGCGTCACCACAATCATGGCTGACGGTCAAGTCACCATGGGAAGCGAGATCGTGAAACCGAACGTGAAGAAAGTGCGCGTGATCGAACCGGGCGTGGTGGGAGGATTCGCCGGGGCCACCGCGGACGCGTTCACGCTGTTCGATCGATTGGAACAACAGCTCGAACAACATCCGGGGCAGTTGACGCGGGCGTGCGTGGAGCTCGCGAAACAGTGGCGCACGGATAAGTTTTTGAGGAAACTCGAGGCGACGATGATCGTGGCGGATAAAGAATCGAGCTTTCAAATCACCGGGAGCGGAGACGTGTTGGAACCGCACGATGGGGTGATCGGGATCGGGAGCGGCGGTTCGTACGCGCTCGCCGCGGCGCGGGCGCTCGTGGACGTCCCGGGCATGTCCTCGTTCGACATCGCGAAAAAGGCGATGACGATCGCGGCGGATACGTGCGTGTACACGAATCATAATTTTACCTGGCAAATCATCGGTGGCGACGACGCGACGACGAGCGCGGAAGAAAAGGATGGGGACGCGTCGAAAGGGCCGTCGCGCGCGCCCGCGGGGGAGGGAGTTTAGGGTTGGGGATCGGCGCGACGATTGTAAACCGTTACTCACATCGAGCGTCGACATCGCGCCCGCCTCGACGTCTTCGTGGAGACGTGACATCGCCGTCACATCACCGTCACGCGCTCGCGCGAGAACGCGTCGAGGGTTTGAGGGGTCAAAACCCGACGGACCAAAAGTCATCCGCGTCGTCGCGCGCGTTCATCAACGCCGCCGCGCGCGGGTCGTCCAAAAATGACGGACCCTTGATCGGTGGAAGCACGCGCTCACCGTCGTCGTCGTACGTGACGTCGTCGTCGGAGGGAATGTCTTCGATCCAAACCCTCGGATCAGCCTTCATCGACGCGCGCTTCGACGCCTTGGAACTCTTCTCCGCGCGTTTCACGTGCGCCGCGGCGACGGTCCACGGTCTCTTCTCTCGTTTCGCCTCTTTCCGAGCGCGGCGTTTCTCCTCGAATTTCGCCCGACGCGCATCTTTCCGACGGCGTTTAGCCATCTCCTCGTCCTCTTCCTCGACCTCGGTCGCCTGCGTGTTCTTCTTGTACTCGGCGAGGAGTCGTCGTTTCGCCTCGCGCTTGCGTTTCCTCGCCGCCGCGCGTTTGGCTTCTTCTTCCTCTCCCAAATCCTCTGGCTCGACCTCATCACCGGTACCGTGTCGTAAAACATCCGGTTCAGCGCCGTCGTCATCGCTACCGTCTTCGCTATCGCTATCGCTATCGCTATCGCCGACTCGTTTGTCGGCGTCCGCCGCGTCGCGCGTCTCCGCGGGCGCCGCCCCGTCGTCGTCTCCGCCGTGATTCGAGTGAAAATGAGACCCACCTCGCAATTCCGCCGCTCGAGCATCGTCTCCAACCATCTCCGCCGCCGCGATCGCGGTGTTCACGCTCACCGCGTCCGGCGTCAATCCTTTACTCGCGAGCTCGTCGAAGAGTCGGAGCGCGCGCGCGCCGTCGCCCGCCCGCGCGCACGCCCCCATGGCGACGTTATACGAGATCACGCTCGGCTCGTGTCCGATCGCGACCATCTCCTCGAACAACTTCAACGCCTCCAACGGGGCGTCTCGCTTCACGTTCGCCACCATGGCCGCGTTATAACTCACCGCGTTTCGCTCCACCCCCAAGAGCTTTTGCGCCTCGAACACGCGCAACGCACCGACGTACGCCTTCGCTCGCGTCAGCCTCGACGCGAACGTCGTGAACGCGCGAGGATCGGGTCGTAACGTGCGTCCATCCTCGCCCGACATCGCGCGCGCCACCACGCGCGCGACGTCGTGTACTTTTACCTCGCCATCGCTCGTTCGTCGACACAACTCGAGCAAACGCGCCGTGGTCTCGCCCACGACCGAGTCGTCGCGCGCTCGAGCCGACGCGCGGATGTGTCCGCTCGGCCCCATCCCGCGCGTCCACGGCGCGGCGTCGCGCGATGCCGCGACGGGCGTCGTTCACGTGTTCATGTGTTCATTTCTTCATTTCATGTCTTCACATCGTCACATCGTCACATCGTCATCGTCACCTCGCGTCGTCCGCACTCGCCGCGCCCGCGACGTCGCGATCGCGTCGGCGCCCGCGCGGGCGTCGATGGACGTCCTCGGCGCCCGCGCGCGC